TCGGGATCGTGTTACATCCGTAACTTACCAGGGGGAAAGATGTCGACGATGCTGTTAGCGGGTGCGCCGCCGTTTCCAGTCGCGTACATGGCATCTTCGGCAATCTTGACGTACGGGTCGTTGTCCTCGTGAACGTCGACTCCATAGCTCACTTTGAGAACGATGGCAACGGCGAACCTGGAATGGTTAGCTAAGAAACAACAATGTCAAGGCCAAGAATCGGTTCACCTTTTCATGGACACTTGCCAGCTGTCAGGGTTGCTAATGATGCCATGGACGGACTGGCGGGCCTCGACGACCTGCAGAGGGTACCACTGCCGGACATTGGTGTTACTGAAAGTGGTTTGCAGCAGCTTTCGGTGCATCTGCCAGCGGGGTCCGAAGGGAAGGAAGGTCAGCGTCTTGCCCCAGCCCATGCTGCGGAGGGGACAGCCTGCATCAGCATGCCAACAAGACATTTCAGGGTGGAATTCGGGGCGACTTACACCTCAAACAGAGTGAATCTGGGCCTGTCACAGTAATTGGCCCCCCTACGGTCGAGGAGATCCTTGGCAGCCTCAACACTGTTCAGCACCACGATGGATTGGCCGAGAGATTTGACGTGAATGACATCCGAGTCTACTATTATGTTAGCCACGGGGAGTTCTCGAAAAAGCTGGGATAGAGGAGGAAGTGGACTGACCATACTTTCTTGCCCACTCTGCGTACGTTTGGGCTGTGTTCTCTTTGGGTATAACACGGAGGTGGCCGAGAAGGAATTCACCCGGCGGACCCGGAGGTAATGGCGGATGCCCCCATGATGACCGTGGTCTCATCAAGATGAGAAGGAATACAATAGCTGCGCATGCAGCTGTTGTGGTCCAGGCCGAGGTGCTTTGATACGAGTCCATTGGAAGTATGGAGTTGGACAAGCCGATGTTGATGGGGTTGAGGGTCTGAGTCCACCAGCAAGAGAAGTCCGGTGATGTGATTCCGGACAAACCTGCAACGAGCATAGAGGCTCAAGAATAAGGTGAAGTGCTGTTCTGAAGTCGGAAATAGACATCCAGCCAAGGGGGACGGTCGAAGAAGAATGAAGTCGACGCTAAGGGCATGGAGCTTGGGCAACCAGTGAATAGGAAGCCGCTTATTCGTGAAAGAGACGGGAAGGAGGCATCCATCTGGGTCTTGGACACGGCCCTTGCCTACTTTGTCCAGGAGCGCATAACAGTGCAGTGTCGTGTGTCGTGCGCCCGTCGAGTGTCGAGCAAATGGAAGCCTTGGAAGGCAAGCAAGCACCTCTGACGGCTGGAGGCAAGAGAGCAGGAGCGTATCAGGTAATGGAAGGTAGGTAGGCAGGTGGATAGGGAGACAGTGGAAGGTGAGGGAAGGAAGGTAAGGTACTTCCGCGCAATAGAAACGGAAGGCAGGTTGCAAGTCACTCGTTCTCTTCTTGCCCTTCTCTCGGTTTTGCTTTTCCCGGGTGGTTTCTTGTTCGTTGGTGTTTGCTCTCGGTCTCTCTGCCTCGTTCACTTTCCCGTCTTCCTCCCTTTCTCGGGCTGTCAAAGTCCACAAGTCATTCATCCCATCTTGACCCAACGACATCTACACTTTTTTCACCCACACACACTCACACCCTCACACACAGGCGCCGCATTCGCATCCACACCAACGTAAACCCCGGCCTAGACCCAGACATGACGGCGCGCCAAATGCAGCATGGCGTGGCGGGCGTGGAAGACAATAGGGGATCGAGTCTAACGGCATGCCGTATGCACCCTCAAAGTCTAATCCGGCATGATGTCGTTCATTTCCACGTGTCGAACAGAACGAAACAAACGGTCGGTTCAAGCCGGCGCCCAAACCGGCGGTGTCAGCGAATGCCGAGTGCCGCACGGCAAGAACAGCGCAGCCATTCCGCTCATGGCGCCGAAAAGATGGATGCCCTCCTAGGCCCCTTTCACCCAAGAAGCGGAGGGGAGGCCGAGACTCGAGTGTGCTGGGTAAGGTACAGAGTACGGATACCTACATCAAAAGGTCCAGACCCTTCCCTTTCTCCCGTCTACGGAGTAAGGTATCCATGAATGGTTCCCCAGCAGCTGAAGATCCCGTCTCGGCGGACGGCTGGTGGCCGGTGGATGGACTGGAACTTCTGGAAGGTCTAGGAATGGACGGCATGGCGACCTGACAGGTTCCATTGCAACACCCGATCGGATTGAGCATGAACGGTAAGGGGGTCGGATACGCTTCCACTAACCTTCCACTTCTCATTTGGTGGCTCCGTTCTTCGGCTCGGCGCTTTATGTGTGTACGAAGTAGTGGCTCAGCCTCCAAACTGCGAACTCCCAAGGTGTCACCGTATCAGTCTTTCCGCTTTGTTTCGGCAGGGACTGGGGACGGTAAAATGGGGCATGTTAGGCATGGCATCTGTCTCTCTAACTGACTAAGGTAAGGTGTCGGGTTGGATCTCTCTTTATTCCTGCGGATAGACATCTTGTCAGAAACCGTATCGTATTGCCATATCAAATCACTGCACCGCACTGGGCCTCAAACGACCTGACCATGCTGACCACTGTGACCAGAGTCGTTAGCGAGAAAAACTAGCGGACTGTGGACCCTGTCTTTTGACTCTTTTTCCCTGCTTTCACAGCTTTTTCGGTGGAAATTCTCCATCAACGCCAACAACCCAAAGATGCACCATCTGCAAAGACTGCAACTCTTTCCGAGCCCTCCCGGTCCGTAGGGCCAATCCCTCGGGCAGACCATGGAGACAAGTCCCACCTGAGCCCCCTGCGACATCCCACGACGGCCCCTCCCACCTTTACACTATGTAATACGTTAGGTACTCCGTATTACTGTGTGCATACAGAATTCCAACCGCGAACCTGGCAGCCATTGCCCCGCCAAGTGCATCATCATCCCACCTCCGTTGGCGTTGTCGGGGTCCTCTCACCGTTCGTCGGCTGGGAAAATTCAATGCCTCACATCCATCTCTCTGCCCCTCACCACCTGATCTACCGTTATCTCACCTCAGTACCCGAGCTGCATTCTTTCGCTCGGAAAGGGAAGCCTCAGTCTCATCAAGATACCCGATTTGCGACCACACGATCCGAATCATAAAATATCCCTAGTAGCCTGTTCAGGTTGTCTTTGTTGACGACGACGACGACGACGACGACGACGACGATATCATCATCGCCGAGGAGGAAAAACACGAGAACCCGAACACCGAGAAAGATAATCAAACTGCCCGAAATGGCTGCCACCAAGACCCCCCAGATCACCGTTCTCGGCTCCCTCAACATCGACCTGACCTCCTACGTCCCCCACCACCCCATGCCGGGCGAGACCCTCACCTCGAACTCTGTTGTTATTTCGCCCGGAGGAAAGGGCGCAAACCAGGCCGTCGCCTGCGCCAAGCTCTCACGCTCCCGCGAAGCCCCCAACGATGCCGCCTCCGAAACCGCCTCCGTCTCCATGATCGGCGCCGTCGGTAGCGACTCGTACGGCGACCTCCTCCTCAAGAACCTCGGCGAGCACGGCGTCCGCACCGACCGCATCGCCGTCGGCACCGACCTCAAGACCGGCATGGCCATCATCGTCGTCGATGAGCCCACCGGACAGAACCGCATCATCCTCGCCCCCGAGGCCAACCACGCCGTCACCCCCGAAAAGTTTGGTACCCTTCCCGAGACCCTCGACCCCAAGCCCGACCTCCTGGTGATGCAGCTCGAGGTGCCCCTTGAGACCGTCCTCGCCGCCCTCCGATCCGCAAAGGCTGCCTCCGTCCCCGTCCTCCTCAACCCGGCCCCGGCACAGCGCCTCCCCGACGAGGCCTACGACGGACTCGCCCACCTCGTCGTCAACGAGACCGAGGCCGCCATCCTCTCCGGCTGCGACGAGTCCGAGCTCGACACCCCCGAGGGCCTCAAGCGCGTCGGCGAGTGGTTCATGGCCAAAAAGGTCAGCAACGTCATCATCACCCTCGGCGGCCGCGGCGTCTACTACGCCAACAAGGAGGGCGCCGCCGAGCTCATCGCCGCTCAAAAGGTCAAGGTCGTCGACACCACCGCCGCCGGCGACACCTTTGTCGGTTCCTACTGCGTCGCTGCCGTCACTGCTCAGGCCAAGGGTGTGGCTTTTGACATTTCCTCGGCCATCAAGAGCGCCAACAACGCGGCGGCCAAGACGGTAGAGCGCAAGGGCGCGCAGACCTCTATTCCTTGGAGGGATGAGTTGCTGTAAAGGAGGGCTGCGTGAAATAAAGTAAAAACGTAAAAACGTAAAACGTAATCCAAAAACAAAGAAAAGCATATTTCATTCAAGCATTAACGGACAAAACATCAGTCAAAAAGGTTGGAGAAACACCATATGAATCGGAATTCGACTGGTCTTGATTTAATGACTCTCAGAAGAGAGAGTGTGTGTCTATGTCTACTACCCCTTTAAACCGAAACTGAACAACGTACAAGTCGCGAAGCCTCTCACGACCACCAATTCGTCCAACTCCACCGGCTGGATGGCTTTCTTCCCTGACCGCGGGGAGAGTCTCCTCCAAACGCCTCTCTCTTCTCTACAACATGACCGTCATCTCGGCTGTCGGCGACTGAAGATGCCAAGCTTCTCAAGACGCCCGGGCCTATCGAGCGCGGGCTTCTCAGTGCGGTCAAATGGTTCCCGAGCCTATTTTTGAATGCGGCTCCGGTAGCCGCCTCACCGGGGCACGTTGCAGTTGATGGCTTCCGCTCCCCCTGTCCCGCACGGGGCCTACCCCAATCCAAATCCACCGCTAACGTCCTCCGATGCCCAGGAGACCACCCATTGTACATTGCTTCTGGTTGTCTGACTGTGACGTCTCTGCCGAGGCTTGCCTCTCGCCTGGGAACCACTGGAGGGGTCAGCATGGACATTGGTTTGTCTTCCATGGACAAGTCCATCCTGGACTTTGCCCTGAGGGCCCTTTGTGGTGCTGAAGGCCTCATTGATATGCGCTTCATTGCATTACGAGCTTTCGTCAGCTCCTAGTTGTCATGGACGATGCTCGTAATGGGGTTATATGTTGGGGCTATGTTTGGAGACCACGGTGATCGGTGATCGTGTTGCTTGATGACGGCCGTTGCAAATGTCTCTAGTTTTGTGCCTCCTTCAATCATGTTATCGATGATGTCAGGTCGACTTTGGCAAAAGAATGCCGAATGATTGTACTTGACAGAGACGCGTATGTACTCGAGATTGGAATCTCCCAGTTGATACTCCAAGTCATCAATCAGATCATCTGACCTGTGTCTGACATGGCCCGGCTGCTTGGTGGAGTGAGACGATTTGATATGGACTTGCGCAAGCAGCAGTACCTTTTCGCCATTGCCTAGTGTTCTAGACCACCGTCAGATAATCATCAATTACTCCAGGCGAAAGTACTCACGTTTGGATAGGATCGTCCCTGATGGTGTCAAGAACACAACTATTACCAAGTGGAACAACTTGGATATCCATGCTGTGAATACATCCATGCATGAAAGGATCTACGTCGATGTTAGTATAGAAAATAGTATCAATGTTTTAGTCTACAAACCTGTAGAAGATTGACCGCGAATTGCGCTGGCCATGATAGAGCCGTCAGTAGCAGACATATTAGGGCAGGCTGACCCATTGAGTGGTTGGCACAATTGTCCTGAAACCTCGACGGCAACCCAGAAACTTGCCGTGCTGCTATCAAGAGCTTTGATCTCTGGAGTGATGGAAATCTTCGGTACGAGCACAAGGGAGCTGTCAGACGTAATTCTTCCTTCGGGAGCGTCCAAGTCAAAAAAAGTGCTGGCCTGGGCAATCAGGGATGACTTAGATGAAGATCGCGTCGAGTAATTCAAATAAGGAGTGCTGTGTATTGGTGCTGGGAACGTTGTCTCAACGCCATCATCGTCATCTAATGGCCCAGAGATGGCATGTGCAACGAAGCTGTCCCAAACATGTGGTCCTGAGCTATATCAGCAGGTTACGTTCGAAGTCCAAATCTAGACTCACGATGTGCTTGTGGTCGTCCACCAAGTGATGATTGTCCCTATCCAACATCCTTCAAACTAGGCGTTTGCCCGGTCCTGTGGTTCCTTCGCTTCTTCCTCACAACGAGGGGCTCATCAAACGGCCCCCGGAAACCATCTAGACCCTCGTCAGTCTCGGCAACTGATCGCGAGCCGCTTGCATCTCCTCGGAACTCCCCTCCAGAACCACGCCCGAGTCTCTTGAGAACTTTGAGCGGCTGCGGGACTTCGGGAGCGGTCCTCCTCGATCTGTCCTTCGCCTTGTCGGCGAGAAGCTCCAGCTCAATCGACTGGCCCTCGAGGGATGCCATGTCTCGGGAGGTGGCTGGATCTGGACTGTAGTAGTGGCTTGTTGGGGTGCCGGGCATACGAAGCTGGCTATCTCGTGGATGCCGTGCTGGATAGAAGGATTGGGCGTATCCCGGTACGTCCTGAGACTTTCGAGATCCGGCCACGAGTCTGCGTAGTGTTGCGTGTGGGTAGCGAGGCTGGTGGTTGTGCTGTCGGTCGACTTGACGCGTCGGAGTCCGAACCAGCGTCTCGCTGGCCTCGGTTCGATGGCGCCGGCTGCGTCTCTGAAGTTGCGGGAGATGAAGCGGGCAGTGAAACCCGCGATAAGTAGCATGGGTACGACAGTGACGAGGACGATGAGGACTGCAGCTACGGGAGTTGAGAGGCCCATAGTCGAAGTAACAAGACAGTAAGTAATGTACCTTACGTGATGATCTCTGACGTCTTGGAATGATGATCTATTATTCAGGGGTCGATGGAGGGTTGTACGTGGTAAGGCTACGTGGAAGAGGAGAATAAAGCTAAGGTACCCAGGCACGTCTACATCCCATCCGCGACGAGGGGAAGGTGGACATGCATGCTAAGAAACGTAGGTAGGTAGTGTCATGAAGTTTTGAAGGTAGTCGCTTTCAAGCAAAGTCAAATCCATCATTCCGCCGCAGGCACGCCCTGCATGCTTCTGCGTTCCTCAGGTATCGCCGGGCTGCTTCCCAACGTCCGCTGCAAGTTTTCCCTCACAGCGTCCACGTCGCCTTCCTCCATTGCAAGGAAGTTGATCTGTATCATTCATGGTCAGCAACCGTCATCGTTCCGAAGTCCACGCGCTTCAACGAGAAAGATAACTCACCAGGTCATCACCACCCGATGTCGCCCCATACAAGACCGCCTCAGAGAGCGACGTCGCAATGCCCTTCTGCACTCGATCCTCCCAAACACCTTCCCAGTTCCATTCGCCAGGCTTTCTGGAGACGGAAGGCGCACTGCCGATAGGTTTCCTAACGATGGAGTGAACACTCCCACTTGTAGAAGGCTTCCTCTCGGGCAGCGGAGGCGACGCCTCCTCCACCTTTTCTTCTCCTTCTCCTTCCCCTTCCCCTTCCTTCTTCTCCTGAGCAGAATCGTCGGCGGCCTCTGCCGCTTTCTCACCCTCCTGCTCCTCCTCCTTCTTCTCTTGTGGCACCGGATCGCCAGGGAAACTCTTGCCCGCCTGTCGCTGCCGCGACCTCCATGCGTGCCACGCGCCAGGGTTCCCCGCGGCTTCGAGCGGCACCGAGTCCAGCACCTTTTCGTCGTCGAACGTGCTCCGGATATATCGCAAAACCTCGTACGTAGAGACCTCCCGCCTCGAAGTGTCGAGATACCCCGGCCGACCCCCGAGAGGCGTCGCCTTTGAGTTAGGCGTCGAAGTAGTGCTGGATGGTCCACCGCCGCCTCTGGCTGGAGTCGCGGGCGGTTGCTGCTGGCCGCTGACCTGTCGGCTCCCCGCGTTGCTTTTGCTGCCCCGCCCGAACCAAGCGGGGAATCCGTGTCGTAGACTGAACCCTCCGGGAGGCAAGCGCTCTGCGTCGGTGGCGCTGACGGTGCCGTTGTCCTGGATGTCGGTGGTGTACATGTACGTCGTTAATGGTGTGATGAGGGGGTGGAAGATGTCTGTTGAAAAGGTGACGAGCGGCGGTAGTCGGGGATATGTGTCTGAAAACGAAATCTGAAATCTCAGGATGGCCGTGGCGTAGGGTCCTGCGAACAGTCTCAGTCTTGTGCGGTTCCTCTCTCCACCCTGGTCTCCCTCTCATCGTGAGACCGAGTCCGGGGCTTCCATACCGTGCCTCACAAACATGACGCCAGACCACAGCATCGGGTCTCCTGGCGTCAAGCTCACAAAGACCCCCTCCGGACAAGCCTGCTTCAGACCGGCGCTGGCGTACAGGGGTTAGCAATTTACACGCTTAATTCAGACCTCAGGGGGGGTCGCACGATGGGGTCTGGGTTTTGGGGGAAACTCACAATTCGGCCAGGAGATGCTGTCGCCGCAACGACGGCATACTTCCCATCCTTAGACTCGCCATTTTCGGTTATATACGAAGCATCAAAAGAAAGAATTTAATGAGGATGAATCTGCCGCGATGAGAGGGAGCTCGTCTTGAGACGTGTTGAACAACGTCTCATTCATGCGTGAAGCAAGGGCGGTCAAGAAAAGCGGTAAGGAATTCTGCCGGCTCAATTCGTTATCGTGATAAGAAGCTTGTTATCTTATCAGTGACAGTGAAGTTGTTGTTTTTTAACCCCACCTCCACTGTACGTCACAAGCTACCCCACCAAAAAGTGTTCGCGGCAGGCGCAGCGATCTCGGTCATCTCGGCCGTCGCGTCGGCGTCACTCTTCGTCGAGGCTGGCGGCTCGGGCGGAGAAAGATCTCAGTGGAGGAGGCGCAGATTATGGGTTGCTCAATTTCGTGGGCCCGAAAGGGTTTGCGGATCGTAGCGCGGGTTCGCCATGCACACAATAGTGACGCGTGGGTGGAAGCAAGCTTCACGATGACATCCATCCGTTCAGAAATGGAGGGGCAAAAATTTGGTCTCATGATCTATTCACATCCGAGAGATGATATCCCAATATGCAGGTGACTGATGCTCGTCACTCTTACAGCCCTAGCATCTTCGTGCCACGTTTACATGTAGTCCCCCAAAGCAGTGAGGTCTCCGAAGGGATGGAAAATGACATGCTCGAGACGCTTCTTACTGGGCCATTATTTCCCGAGGCGGGCCTCGATCTTGCCCTTCTCCTTCGCCTTGATCTCGGCCAACTCCTCCTTGGTAGTGTCGAACCTCGCGTTCACCTGGTTGAAGGGGTTCTCCGGGCTCTTCTCAAACTCCTTTCTAATCTTGTCCTTCTTCTGCTGCTGGCGCAGGCCCTGGCCCGAGCCGTCGTCCTCCATCTCCTTGAGTCGGCGCTCCTCAAAGGCCGCGTACGCCGCCTTGAAACGTCGCTCGGGATGTCGGTCGACTTTTGCGTTGTTGTCGGAGCCGGTGAGGGAGAGGGCATCGAGGGCGTTGTCGATACCCGTGGCGTTGAGCGCGTTGAGCGAGCCTCCGCTCTGGTCGCCATCCAACTGTGACAGATCGAGCCCACGTGTCTTCTTGACGGCCGTCTTGTTATTCTTCGGTCCAGCCCGCCCGGGGGTGCTGGCCTCCTCCTCCTTCAGCAGCGCATCCTTCTCGGCCTTCTTCCTGGCTGCCTCTGCCTTCTTGGCGGCTTCCGCCTCCCTAGACGATGAAAGGTGTGGTCAGCCATGGCACTGGGTTGGTTTCCTCTCTGCGGGGTAGTGAAGATCTCGAGAGATTGAGGAAACGTGATGCATGGAAGCCGGTGGTGTCACATGTGGGATAAACACATCGTGGCGCTCGAGGGAGGTTGCCGTAACGTTGTCGGTGACTCTTACTCACTTCTTTGCAGTTCCCTTGGCGCCCTTGCCCCAGTCAGTGTCTTCAGCGGCCGACTTCTTCGCGTCCTCGGCAGCGGCCTTCTGTGCAGCAGCATCGGCCTTACGGGCGTTCCCGGCAGCCTTTTTGCTGTTCTCGCCTGCTCCCTTCTTGCCAGCCATGTTGTTTCGTTGTGATGCTGGGTTGTTCTGTCGGTTACTGGTCGGCGGTATGCGCGATATGCGATGCGATGCGCGGGTTTGCGACAGGTGTTCGGATGCGTATGCTGTATGTAGCTTGCTTGCTTGCTTCTCTGTGTGGCCGCGTGCGTGGTTCGTGGCTTGCGCCCGGGATGTTGCAGTCGAGCAAGTGGTGCGTGTGAGAGATGTTGTGAAACCCGATGGAGATGATGGGAGAGGGGAGAAAACAAGTTGGACGTCGTTGCCTCCTCCGCAGATGGGCTAAATGGAGAATGAGTAAAGCGGAGCGGAGCGTGAGGTAAGGCAGCGTAGCGTTGGACCCTCCGTGGTGGACTGTAAGGTCTTAGGTAGTGTAAAGTACCTTAGCTAGGGCCGGTGCGGCGGGCCAGGGATGGATGGGGTGAGGTTGTCAAAAGAAGCTGGCGGGAGGTGGCGGACAGTGTAAAAGCCGGGGATTTGGACGGTACCTTAGACCTTATGCACCGAGTCCTGAAGCGATCGTGTCTGTTGGTCGCCGTCACCGGATCTGATTGATCATTGAGGACGGTTTTCATCCAATGCTTGTGGGCCACTGGTAATCGGATGAAAAGATCGTGGACCTAGTAATCCGAGGTCCATGTCTTTAATTGACAAGGTAGCCACAGCATGGCTTTAGAGGTAGGTTAGCAGAGGCTAACTCGTGTTCTTCGACTACCTAATTTCACCTCACCTGCTCATGTCGCACGTATTTCCAAGGTCAGGTTGAACCGAAGGAGCTGAAGCAGTGAGTACGAGTCTCTCACACGTAAAGGTAACTCGGTGATGGAATCGCAACCGAGTTACAGTGTCGGTCTTTGTGCGACACACCGTGCGGGCGATTGTGGGGACAGCCCGCTTGCAATGTGCGTCACACCACACGGCCTTGACTGACTACCACCTACTAAGGTCAATACCTAGGTACGGTACGTGCCTACCTATCTATCCGTACCTATCCGTACTTACCTTTACGAATCCATGAATACCTACCTTATACGGATACTAGACCTTCAGGTGATTGGTAAATGTAAAGAAGGCAGCTACATGTTATACACCGCGCATAGCAGCAGCACCTGTCGTCCTTCCCGACCATCTAAAACCTCATTAGCACAGCATTCGATAGCTTACACGTACGAGGCAAGATTGAGTAGGCCGGCATCGATGCAAGTTGCTCGCCGTCAGGGTGCTCTTTCTCTCTCTCTCTCTTTCGGTCTCCATAAACGGAACGAATGCCGGGTAGCGTCTTCCGTATTCCCCGACTATTGTCCGGATAGATCGAGCCATCTCCTTTATCCAGCGCCAGTCTATCCGATCCAGTCCTTCCACTGGACATGAATCATCTTCCATCGTGTTACTCAAATCAGCATCCCGTGTTTGCTGAGCTTACATTGATGCATGTCTTTTGCCCCTCCTTCGCGCCGTCTTCCGCGTCCTCGCACAAGATGTACCAGGAACCTGATCCCCACGTACCAAGCTACTTATGCTTGTGCTTTTCACCGAGTCGACGCATCAGCCACTCAGAGAGAGCTTCGGTGAGCACGACCTGCAGTACCCTGCCCTTTTCGGTATCGAGGCCTGCCATCGTAGGTCCGTCGAGTTGTGCCACGTGCAGCTGGCTTTCTGGGAGGCTTAGAGCTTGCAGGAATTGAGACGTTGTTAGGTCTGACAGCTTTGCATACGTTTTGCCAGGGTTGTATTTCTTTGTTCACTGGACGTCTAACCCTGGATAAAGATCTCTCCCAGGCTCATCGGACCGCGCCTAAGTAGGTAGTCGGCTGAGTCCCTTGGTGCTAATGCAGTGTTGCCTCTTCACCATGCCAATCCTGACTCCCCGTCGGCAGTGTCAGAAATGGAAATTTCTGTTCTTCTGTTACACAAAACAGCGCAACAGCGGTCCGTTGGCTTGTTTCGCGCCAAACAGCTGGGTGTTGGCCAACCGGAACTCAGCGGCCACGTCTTTGCAGCAGGCCACCCTGGTCTGCCCGGATCATACCCGCTGTGACAGCCAAATATCTCGCGCAATAATGGTGATCAACGTCCGGATAACGTGCATGAGCCCAACCTTTTTGCATGATCATGGTCTCAGTGCTGGAGTGACAGGCCGACGGTTGCCGAAGGCGCATTCATTGCCAGTCTCTGCCAGTCTCGGCTAGATATATGCCACAGTGAGTGATGAAGTATACAGGAAAGGGGGCAGACACCGCCCTGGTTGCTTTCTGAACACTGTACAGTATATTCTCGGGTTCGGATACCTCCTCTGTATACTTTTGTCTGCTGACAAAGATGGAGATAAGAAATGAGCAGTAGTAGACGAGAGCGCGAGCAGAGACAAATGCGACTCGATCCTTGTGGGGAGCAGAAGATGGCCCAGCTCGCCATCACGCATCTATAAGCCCAAATCAGGTGTCTTCTGTCAGTGATATCATAGCGCGCGTCTCTGTCCCCAGGGTGTAGAAATTCCATGACCTTTCGTGTCCACGTCAGCCCTCCGCTCTGACGTGTCCGCAATGTTGTGGTGCTGTGTCGTTGATTGACCATACGGAAGAGCGCCTGACACAGGCTCCATGACCTTCAGCATCCTAGGAGCGGGATGAAATTCCCGTCGGTAGAAGTTCCAGAATAGTCTCGGATAATTCAGAACACTTTCACCCCTGAGCCTTGTTAAAGGTGGCCCCAAGGCTTCCATGGCCCGGCCCGTCAAAGTTTGTTGCCTAGGGCTAGCCAACCGTGGCATATGCCTTGATCTGAACTTCGGTGAGTCAACGGGCGAACCACCCTTTTGAGCAGGGTCTAGGAAGTTGTCGACAGTCTTGAGGCTCACGGTCCCTTGGGTTGATCTTGAATTTTGCTGCGGTCTAATCAGCGGTGTAAGCAAGTAATCACTGGCTCTTAGACCCAGGGTGGGACCCATGGCAGCCACGTATCGCAGCAACCGTAACGTCACCTCGTTGTTGTTTTCTTTGAAGTATTGAGCGCAGAGGCATCCGGACGCCCCGGACCCCTAGTCAACCACGGGAGGCTTGAGGGCAGCCAGCCAGCCATTTCGAGTTTCCAAGGTCAAGCACGGATGCCAAGGCGAGAGAGCAAGGCGACCGAACCCAGGTATGTTGCTCTTGTTCAGGCAGCCTGTGAGGATCTTTACACGACGGCTGGTCATGACAACAGTCGTGTGACGCGAAGTTGCTCTTCCCCCGGGCGCTTAATATCGCCTGCCATGCTCGAAGAATACCCGTTGAAGGTATCTGTATCCGTACGGATACACTCACGGACTGATGGAACCGAAAAAAAACACGTGTGGAATAGACCTTAAAGCCTTGTCTGGATATAGTTTGAGTCCGGAAATTCCGCTCCCGGGGAGCAGGCTAGGATGTCAAGTCCCCTTGCTCATCCTGCTGGCTCTGGTGTAGGCTACCCTTGCAAATTCCCAGCTCACGGCGTCAATGTAAGAAAGGAGATGGGCTTGCAGGCGGTGAGAGATCTACAGGGCTGTAACGAGTTGGTAAGTGACATGTCACATATCGATTACGGGGAAAACTTACCAGGGGGCGCGCGCGCGCAGAACCCAATGTGGGAGTCAAGCTTTAAGGCTTCTAGCCTAGTGATTCTGCGGTGGAGAAGTACCCTCTTTCCCAGACACAAGAAACCCCGTACCTGGCGACCTACCGAGCCGGTGAGTCGACTGACCGAAGGTGAGGAATCCGTAGGGAGTACTCCGTATCCGTACTCGTCCTTCTTTCGTCACTCGTGTGTCTGGACAAGGATTCCTGAGCCGAAAGTTGCGCTGGATCCGACCATTTTCATCAGCCATTGGTAGCAAAAGCAAGCGTTCGAAATTGTAACGACAGGGCTTGAAGGTACTGAAAGTTTCCGCGACCGCCACCTGGCCAGAATCAGCTGTTGCCCGTCGATACGGTCATTAACCATAATTTGATTCCTTTCCAAAGATCAATAACACGACAAAATTTACACTCCTCCACAACATGATCATTCAGCATACCTTTCCTTATCGTATAAATGAAGCCGAATTTCATAAGCCATGGATATCTGTACTAAAGAGGCAGCAGATGAGCCTATCCGTACGAGGCTGCCGAGAAGCCCCGTCGATAGAAACTTGCGCCCAATCATAGGTCCCGCATTCAAGGTGTACCCTCAAGCGGGTGAGATGCTGCAATGTTCCTATTTTAAGAAGCTAAAGTTATCATAAGCTCAAAGGTGTGCCTAGCTCACAGTCGGCGAAACATAGCACTTCAGTTAGGTGCGGTGCAGCATTCGTACGTACCTAATCTCGAACACTGAAGTATCTAGCAAGTAAAAAAAAAGTCGTAAAAATGGAGACCAATCCTCGTATAATGGAATTGAACCATAGCAACTCCCCGGCGTGGGCTCGAACCACGAACCTCCAGATTAACAGTCTGACGCGCTAGCCAATTGTGCCACCGGGGATACTCGAAATGAGTCAGTAAGGAAGGGGGCTTGATCGTGGGGTCTGCGTCGTTTCAAGTGCATATGGATGGCGGAACCTCGTCACTGTTCAGAGTTCGAAATTGTGCTCCAGGGTTAGGGCGTTTCTGAAGCGGGAACTTGTCGTGGACGGTATCGGGCCGCCCCATAGAAGTGGGTAGTGATTACTGCTGCAGACGAAAACCGTGCTGTTTGCAGCAGCGTATTACTTGGTCGCATCCACAGATACATCCCACGATGTTGACCATCTGAGTTGCAGTGTGTTGGAGCAATAAGTTGACTCAGTCGTCTAGGAAGCACCGTCACCGTTATCGTAGAAACTCAATGGCGAACAAAGGGCTGAACCGAAGTGGCGTTGCAGGGGTTGCCTACTTTCAGGTGAGGTTTGCGAAAAATACCAGGTTCAGAACGAACTTCGTAGTTCTTCGGAGAGGTGGCAAGCTTTGGCGACAATGTGGAATCCATCACCCATGGTCAGACCGTCCTATTACGCATAGTAAATGCGTTTCTCAAGGCCAGGGTTTGGGCCTCGTCTAGATGCCCTGAAAAGGGTAGATCGGGACATGATCTGATGGAAAGTAAACAGATAGAGTCGACGCAGGAGCCAGCTGTATTCGGATCTAGGCAACGCAACTAGCAGAACTTGAGACCATTGGGCAGCGAATGGAAGTGTACCGTGATGTGAAATGGTGCTACGTCGGAAGCGATAATGTTGATTGAGGCAACTGCCTTCGCGCATCCAGGTCGGAACTTATGAAAGCGTCGACACACGCCGACCCCAGAAGAGGGATCTCGCAGGCCAGCGCCTGAATGCGAGCTGTCCCTCAAGCGTTCATTTCGTATGAACGGCTCGGCGGTGATGGACATGATGCATACATGTGGGTGACAGGGTTGTCTTGGCGTTGTTTGTCGAGGTGGCGTGACCCTTTGCCAGCAAGCAGTCGAGAATGGGGGCCAAAATGCCATGTTGCCAGTGGCTCGAAGTTTGACTTGACTGTTGCCGTTGATGCAGACGGATGCCGGGGTTCAGTGCAGGGGTATCGCCTCCTCGCTTCACGGATAAGGCGTTTGATAGCGTGATCAAATCAAGGGATGGACAGCTTAGCTCAGCCCGGATGCAATGAAGTGCGGGATGAAATGCAACTCCGGACGTGAGGATAGTTGGATCAACGGCCGGTTTTCGCTTCGAATGGTTTGATATGCTTGGGACACGCACAGCGACAGCCGTGCAGATTGGCCAACTGGTAGGCGAGAGTGGGCGAGTAAAGGTGACCGAGGAGGGGATTGGGTAGCATCATCACACCGAGTTGACGGTCACTGAAAGTCCCCTTGCAGGCCTTGCAGGTATCGCAAGAGAATGACGGGCCAGCGAGGCGGTAGGCGGTAGGCGGTAGGCGGTAGGCGGTAGGCGGTAGACGGTAAGCGGAGTGCGGCATGCGGCATGCGGCATGCGGCAACATGCTTGATGCTGCGGCCAAAAAAGGAAGACCGATCAGGTGATGCTGCGCGAGACATTAGTTCGTGATGTGACAGACGCAGATCACGAGTTACCTGGCAGAAGAGAGGTCTCAGCTTATTGACATTTGCCGAGCAGCTGGCCAATGTAGGGATGACAAGCAAGTGCCCATCTTGGCAGAAGCATGGAAAAGAAGAGCGAACGACTGCAGGGCAGGGAAGAAGGCAGCCGCATCCTGCAGCAACTGGTGTCCACCGCATTGTTTTTCTTTCTTTCATTTCTGAGCATCTTAAGGCATCGAGATGAGGCGGTAAGCTGCAGGAAGGCGAGGGTCGGAAGGCGGATCGAACATCGGGGAGGATTGAGGATTGGTAAAGAATCCCGACTGCGGGTGGATACCACTGAGGGCATTCGCAAGCTGCACCAAAGCCAATGTTAGCTTGGCGTATTGTTGGTAGAAGTCGCCGACAAACATTCCCGTCCTCGGCTGCGTCTTCCCATGTAGTTCATGCTGGAATCAGGGGGTTGCCTGTGGTGCTATACCTTATGTACTCAGGCATCGATCGCATGCGCAGAGCGAGCAAACGGATGAAAGATTACCTAGACCTGGGTCACCCAGAGGTAGTTCCTTAGGTACCTGCCATCTTGCCTTATCAGAATCCCTCGTGCGACGTGCCTGCCTTGCCCACTTACACCGGCGTACGTACCCCATGTCTTAGGTAAGCTGGAAGGGGATCTTGGGGAAAGCCTACCTAAAATAGAGGCAGAGAGGGAAGGAAGGAAAGGTACATACCTCCTTCCCTAGCCTAGCGCGCCTGGGTACCGTACCAAGGTACCTCAGCCAAACAGGGAATGAGACTTTGGTCTTTGCTTCACTTTTTTCGTGCTCCTTGCTTTTTGGAAGCACATGGCCTCAACGACCCGCGATCTTCGCATTCAACGTGCCTTCCTTCTGCTTTACGCAGCATGATCCCATGGACCCATGCGAAGCAAGATGTGCTGCGTGGCTACTATTGTTTTTCCTAATCCCAGGCAGGTGTGTTTGTGCAGATTCACTATAGTAAGCAGGCGCAGCTGCACCCGAGAACACCGCGACCCAGCCATTACCAGCACCAGCATCAGCTACGCTTGCGTATCTGCATGTTATATTGTCTGCGTGTCTAAGTTTGTGAGCTTCCTGCCCCCAAGAAGAAACGCGGAAGTAGCAGGTCCAGGCAGAAATGACCAGTCACGGATTCAAGACTGCAGGTTACGTGCGTACGGTTGGTTTCTCGAGTCTACCGATACTCCCGTCCCTGTCGAACCCGTTGCCTCACCGACTGCATCCAACTTCGGGACCCCATAGAGACGCATCTCGGATCGACAACCACGGCCAAGAAGGGAACGGAGTCCTGTTATGCAACAGATCCAGAGAACCAAACGGCACGACAAAGGCGGGCAGGTCGCAGAGCGGAGGAAAAAGGAAGCGGTCGAGGCGGAAAGAAGAGAACATCTTGGCCAGCAAGGCGGCTTGCCAGGTTGCCAGAGACGAAAAAGCAACGTCGTCAGCCTCGGTCAACCCTACATCATTCCTCGCGCATCACGCCCACCGCCAATCTCACCCTTGGATGTATGCTTCCTTTTTCTGCTCATCGATTTCCTTTCGCCAGAAGCATTCTCCCCCCACCGCCTCAGACCATGCCACCCACATCTCACCTGCCGACGACTGGGCGAAACCAAAGTCAATGGGTAGGTATCCGTACCGCTGTGGTCGGAGCCATTTCTTCATGCTCGACTCTTGACCGATTCTTATCGGCCCGCACCCCTCAGTGGCCTCCTAGTTGTTGACCCAAGAAAGTCAATCGCCAATCGACATAACTGAGACAGACCCTCCGGATCGACGACAACTGACATGACAGAGAATACAGACAAGACAGCCTGTCAGGACTGAGACATGCCGACATTGACTGCCCATCAATCAAGCCATCAGACCCCATCTGGAGCGCTACCTGCAAAGCTCAGAGTCAAGGATGCGCCAGCTGATACAAAAGCACCTGTACGCACTACGAAAACACTTGCACCCTAATACCTAACCCCCAGGTTGCAATAGCCACCTGCTCCAGCCTCCAGCGTCGTCTACCCGCCGTGCCCGCTTCGCCGCACACAACGTACAGACCACCGAGTACAGTATGATCTCGATGCAAGCATTGATACATGCAGCCCGCAGTTTCCAGTCAATTGGGACGGGACGGACGGGACATCACATCGTGGCATGCTCCCGTCCTCTTAGGATACGGATACCTTACGCAACAAAG